GTAAAGAATCCACCTGCCAATGCAGGAGACACGGGTTCCATTCCTGGTCCGGGAAGATCCCACGTACCTTGGAGCAGCTAAGCCTGTGTGCCACAACTACTGAGTCTGTTTTCTGGAACCCAGGAGCCACAACTCCTGAAGCCCGAGCTCTCAGAGCCCATGCCCCGCAACAGGAGAAGCCACGGCGATGAGAAGCCTGCACACTGCAGCTGAAGAGTAGTCCTCACTTGCCGCAACTAGAGAAAAGTCCATGTGGCAACAAAGACCCGGCACAGCCACAAAAAGAAAAAAACTGGCCAGGGGGCATGGAGCCGGGTGGGCTACAGTCCATAGGGTGCAGAGAGTTGGACATTACTGAGAGACTTTGAGTGACAGAGAGAGAAGTGGGCATTGCTGGGGTTTTGCTGAGAAAAGATAAGCCAAGGAAAGGCTAACAAGAGACAAAAAATACATATAGGGAAAGTAAGTGTGACCTTACCCATACCAAAGAGTGTAAAATAAAAATCTACCTATTGTATGGAGACGCAATGCTTCAAGGTTGAAGGAGACATAGAGCCAAAAGGCTGTATGGGAAGATCATGAATAGAGGCAGCCAGGGCCTGGTTCCACGAGCCCTGGGCATGAAGTTACCACACCACGGTGTGCTTCCTGGGGGGGCACAGAAGGATGGGTGATTGCATGGGGACCATCCTTCCATGGCAGGCCTGGCTACTGATGGCTGCTCTGGCCGCTGCAGATCTATGTCTGAGCGTAACTCACCTAAATAAGCCTTCAACAATGGAAAGCTAAGACTCCAAGCATCTTTGTCTTAGATCTTTAAAATAACATCCTTTTCTTGAAAACGGAAACTTCTTGGGAACTTTTCTCCCCAATCCTGCATTTGAGTGAAATCTAAAGGTTACTTTAAATATAAAGTTCATCTTATCAAGAGCATCTGGGAGTCTTTACAGTGAGTCTATTTTTATTTCATATTTAGCAGTAGTAAAAAGTGTACTAAGAGTAGACGGCACCAAGGAGCTGCCATTTTTCACACCTCCAACCAGCACTCTTGTTTCCTCTTGCAAATGTCATGATGAAAGAGCCAAACCTCAAACTTCTGTTTTCTAGAAGTCACTTAAAATCATGTCTGGAGTGCTTCTGAATTGTGAGAGACCACCCCTACTGCTGTCTATACCCCAACAGTTTGAAAATGGGACAGTGAGATGATGGATGGGGAACGGGTACCTGTTCTGAAGAAGGAATGATGAGCTTAAATGTACCACTACTAAAGCTGATATACTATAATTGATATACTGTGTTGGCCAAAAAGTTCATTCAGGTTTTTCCATTAGATGTTACAGAAAAACCCCAAAAACTTTTTGGCCAGCCCAGCATAATGCAGGGTTAGTTCTTTACAGACAGTTCTCAGCATGCCAGGGAATGGTCCTGTTTGATTCGGCACCGCGGATATTCAGAGCTCGTGCCCTAGCAGAAGGCAGCCCTATTTGGAGGAGGCAGCCTTTAGAAAACTTGGTACCTGAGCGGGGAGTGAGGTCAAGTTACCAAGAGGACCGGGAGCTGGGGAGCATAGCCCGTGAGAGGGGGTGCCTATCTGCTTCCTCCTGCAAGCTCAAGGTCATGCACATTTGGAAACCAGCTCCTGGTCCAGGGGTTGGGAGCCTAAAGGATCACCTGGTGCAGACCGTGGTGGGTTCAGTATCAAACTGTCTTGACTGCTAATGCCTATTTCCTGTGGCTGGGCTCCCCGTCTCACTGAAAAACATATCCCCACTTCACCTCTGTATTTCATCCTCCCCTGTCTTCCTCGGGGAATGTTCCCTTTTTTCCTTATTTACTATGTGTAGTCAATATTTCCTTCTTCCTCAGCAGTTTTGGTCCATACCCCGTCTCATTTCTCTGTATCCATTCCTATTTCCCTCTCAATTACTCATCTTCTCCCTCAAATTCTTTTTCCAGTCACGGCAAACTTCTTGAACAAGTAGTCTGCACTTGGTAAAGCCTTCACAGGCTCATCTCAGCCTAAGACAAAGTGATTTCAAACCCTTTGCTTTAAGGCAGTACCTAAACTGTGTTCACGAAGATCACTTACACGCTCAGAGCTGCCACAATTGACGACTTCTCAGTAGTGCATCTTGATTATTCTTTTCCCCTTAAAACACTCGCCCTTCCAAGTCTTTTCACTTTCCTCTCAACATCTGGCCACTCTCTCTCCATCTCCTCCCCCTCAGAGGATACCATCAACACAGCGGATCCCAAGATTCTGTCAACATTCCTCTCCTCACTCCAGGATGCATTCTTTCCCAGTGTGCGTTCTTTCTCTTTGCTTCCACTACGGCTTGTGTGCCAACGATTCCCATATCCGTATAGCACTGACCCTGGCTTCTTGCTCTTGAACTGAAAGTCTGTACTTCTACCTCTTTCTTTTTTTTTTCCCATTTATTTTTATTAGTTGGAGGCTAATTACTTTACAATATTGTAGTGGTTTTTGCCATACATTGACATGAATCAGCCATGGATTTACACGTGTTCCCCATCCTGAATCCCCCTCCCACCTCCCTCCCCTTCTACCTCTTTCTTTTGGCTATTTTGAGACTCTCAAATTCAGCATAGTCAGAGCTAGACAATCCTTTTCTCACACTCAGTCAGATGTGACACCTCCCTTTTCCGTATCACTCACATGGCTGCTAAGTTCTGCTGACTGTGATTCTAAATGTCGCTCTGATGTACCCCTCCATGGGTTACTGCCACTACAACTACTCTCAGACTGCTTTATTGGGATAAGAAGATAGCTAACAGAAGGAGCTCAGGGAATCAGATGAGCTGGTTTCGAGCTGCATTCTGTTTTTTTCTCTCAAAGACTTCAGCTGGAGTCTTTAAGACTCAGTTTTCCCACCTGTCAAGTGGGGCCAGTATTTAGAACTCTTATAAGAGATATAGTGATCTAACCAAACTGTTATTCACAATGATTGGCACAGGTCACCACTCAGAAATGCCATGCTTTTCACTCAGGACTCTCCTTACCTCCCCCCCATCTCTGAGCTGGAGCTCCTTGCTTTCAGCCCATCTTTCCTCTCCAAAACACATTCAACTCTCACACCCCTTATTTACTTACTTGAGATATACTCAAGTGAGTCTTTGGTTCAAAAAAAAGAAAACATTTTCACAAATTTTCATTGCCCAAATGACAAAGAACATTCTCCTTAACTTGGCATTGATGACCCTTTGGAAATCTAACCCTAAGCTACATATCCAGCTTACAAATTTACCACTCCATAACCTATGTACCTAATGTTACTTATATTGCCAAACTTGTTTTTTTTTCACAGCCACCCCATCTTTAAGGTCTTCTTCCCTTTCATTTCTAACTGATGAAATCATTCTTTGCGTGAAATTCTTGCCACCTCTTCTTAATATCTTCTGCTTCTGATAGGTAAACCATCTCGTAAGGGTCCTTTATTGTGCCCTTACATTGCATAAGCTCTGTTTCCCCAAGAAAGTCTAATTCCTTGGAAGCAAAGAACCCTCATTATTATTGTGGCACATTACATTCACTGATTCATTCATTCACCAAACATTTCTTAACTGAGAACCAGCCACTGTGCTAAGTACTAGGGATACAAAGCCAAAGAAGATATGGTCCATACCAATAACCAGTAGGCAATCTGGTTGGGAAGATGGGCATACAAACAATTCCAGTAGAGGGTTGTGGGTGAGAGGATAGAGCAGTGGCTCTCAATCCTGACTGTATATTAGAATCCCTAGAATTGATTTTTTAAATGCTAATGCCTAGGTTCAACCACCGAAAATTCTAAGTTAATTCATCTGTGATGCATTTTTTTTAAAGTTCTTCTGGTATAGTTAGGACAGTGAGGACTGCAAACCTGAGAAAGAGTTCCAGACAGCACACAGAGGTATATCTTGTAGCTGGCACTTTGGGATGTTCTACAAATTGCCCCTTTTATGTACTTCCTTCCTTTACATGAATTAGGAGACTCTGCCATATCCCTGACTCAGAGGTAGATCCTAACTGCTTATTCTTGCTTTCAAGTTTAAGAAAGACAGTCTTGGCAGCGACGTGGAGAATGTCTTAGAGTGGGGCAAAGGGTGGAAGTAGAAGGGCTGGTTAGAAGACTATTGATTGTTGTGTTAATAGTTAGAATACTATTGTGTTCTCGGATTCATGAGAAATAACATGAATCTGAACTAAAACAGTGGCAGAGGGAAGGCACAGAAGAGTTAATACAGGATAAAATCAACAGGATGATAAATATAGGTTATAGAGCACAAAGGAGAAAAGTGAGTTAAGAATTACTCAGTTTCCAGACTCAGTAAGTGAGTAGACTACGGTGCCATTCACTAAGAGAGGGGTTATGGGAGGAAGAGAAAGTCTGACCTAAGTGTGGAACACCCAAATGGAGAGTGACAGCAAAGAGCTGAGAATACTCAACATTTGATGAACAAATTACTATGATTAATCTGGGCGGATACTGAAATATTCTAATTCAAGGAACTGTTGCTATATGTTATAACTTGAGTTCTCTCTAGGTCAAGTAAAGTTTTAATGATGGAAACATTTGAAGATACCTGGTCAGAATAGAAAGGAAAAAGAAAGATAAGGTTTGATATAGACCAAAATGATGATAAATCTGAACACTGTTCAGTTTGTGATCATTAATCACAAATGATTCGGGAGAACACTCCTAATATACAGTCCTCCTACCTAAAGGCACTTTCTTAGTGTATCCAGAGGGTAAACTCTATAATGCATGATACAGTTCTCACCTTTTTTGGCTAGCATATACATGCTATACACCTTTTTTGGCTAGCTATACATGCCCCCCACCCTATAGAGTAAGAAACGGCTACATGCTAGGAAGAGTCGAGACTATCTATCTCCATGTTGTATATTTTGTCAAGTGAGCACAATCTATGATTTATTAATATAATTAGCTACCGAGGCTACAAACAACTTTCATATGCACATGTAAATATTTGCTTACCTTTGAAATTGATTAAAATAGCAAGTAAATGGCTGGGAACCAATCTCATCTTTCCAGTACTGTTGCCAATTCATGACACTTTCCAAGTTCTTCTGATTTTCTCTCTTACAGGGAGGAATATAGGAGCACTAACAAAAGAGAACACAGAAAGTAAACCTATTATTCTATAGAATACTGAAATATAGGCCGTTTCTAAAAGATAGATGGCATTATGCTTATGGTAAATCTAATTCTGACCTACTTAATTTTCAATTTAACCAAACTGGAATTGCTAAACTATATTTCAAACTTTGAATTTGGCGCAATTACAGGAAGTATTCCAATAATAAAGATACAACCAAAAATAACTTTCAGTCATTAAACTATAAAGATACTTTATAAACAATTAGTTACAACCTACTAGTGAGTTGAAAGCATAATATGGGCCTGCTGATCAACAAAGGGAGGTAACACAAAAGTTGATTTTTATCCCCAGTCTCCAGCAGACTTTGATGTTTTCCTCTTCTACTTTTAACTAACAAAGCAAGCACACAGCTCTCCTCTGATACTGATCTCAGCTGCTGAAACTTGTTTTCTTTTCTTACATGTTCTTGAACAGCAAAATCAAAGGGAAAGTTCATCTCAGTTACATAATCAATGCATTTTGCTAACTGTTGCCCCTTTCTAGCCATGCCTCTGACAAAGTAGTCCTCTGTGAAGGGGCTTCATTACTTGAAGCGATCTACTCAGCAGAGTTAGAACACTGCTCTTAACCCTAGATATTACAATTAACCCTTAGCATGCTAATCCATTTTTTCCATTTCAGTCTTTTATGATGATGATCATGATGAAGATGATGCCAGTTTACAGTTATTGAGTGTTTACTGTGCCAGTGAAGTGGCAGTCCCTCAGTCATGTCCAACTCTATATAGTCCATGGAATTCTCCAGGCCAGAATACTGGAGTAGGTGGCCTTTCCTTTCTCCAGGGCATCTTCCCAACCCAGGGATCAAGCCCAGGTCTCCCACATTGCAGGCGGATTCTTCATCAGCTGAGCCACCAGGGAAGCCCTTTCTATTCCAGACATGGTAATAAATGTTTAATAGCCTTCCCTCCGATCCTTCTTACAACAATCCAATAATGACCCCCACCTTACAGATGACGAAACTGAGATTTCCGTCAGTGCTACAACTGGAACTAGAGTCTGCTGACTCATCACATTCCACTCTCAGATGTTGTATCAAGGTGTTCAGTATTAAGGAGCAGAAAAAAAATCCACTAGCTCTACAGTATAATTTGAGTCACATGATTTTAGAGCATCTACTTTCTCAATGTCTTCTAGCCATTTTTGGGTAAACTACAAGCATTTTAGCACGATGTACAAAGTTCTCCATGATCTGGTCCCTGCCCGGTCCTCATTCTCGCTCAAGCCTGGGATGCAGACATACAGAAGCTCTTGTTCCCAAATCTGCCATGTGGAATCACACAGTATCATACTTGTCTGTTTTATGTCAGCCTCTCCAATTTGTTGGCAAGCTGGGACAAGGGCTATTTTATTTTCTCTTCTGTATCTTTAAACCTAGGACTATACCTGGTTAACATGGAAGTTTCAAGAATGCTGGTAAAATTAAATAATAATAACACATGTGGATACATCTTTATTCAAGAAGAGGAAGTTTTTTTTTTACAGAAGTTAAACATTTTAAAGTATATATAAACACATTTTAAATTTTATTTCATTTAAATTTTAAATATTTTTATTTAAAAATTTTAAAACTTAATTTTAAAATTAAAATTTAAATTAATTTAAAAATATTTTTATTTTAAATTTCTTAGATTAAAATTTAAAGTTTTATTTATTTAAGTTTAAAATATTTTTCTGTTATATATAACAAATTCACATTATACAAATATTGTCTCAAAGCATATTTACCCTCTGCATATATAGTTTCACTTCTACTAATAACAATAATATATAGCTAAAAAATTCTGTGAAATTATGAATCCTGAGTTCTTCAAAGCAGCAGTCGGGCTTAGAAGCAATGGAGACCATTGGATCGGGTTCCAGTCTTAATAGTTATTACATGTTTGGGCTTAAGGTAAATTACTTTTTTTCTGAATTTCATTTTTTCTAATCTGCTAAGTCTCCAAAATAAATTCTAGCTCTGTATCTCTATGATTCTCTTCTTGGAGATACAGCAAGAAAGGACCCAGCAGAAGGCAGGACTGCACACACTGTTGAGTGTTTTCTCCAGAAGAGATCCTGCCCCCTGGGGAGATGGCCAGGAAGCCCAGTGAAACCACCATTCCAGCCAGCAAGGAGGACAAGTGTGGTTAGTCTTTACTTGGAGACATGTATTTTGCATTAGGAAAATGTTTATAAAGGGCTTCTGATTTTCCTGTTGCTTATTTCCTATAATGTGACAGATGTTTCCTTTCCTTCTATTAAAAACTCTTTTTCTGTATCATGGTCAACTAGTTTATAAAGTGAGAGTAGTTGTGTCAAATGACTGTGCTCTTTGTAGGGGGCAGAAATTTCTAGATCTGGAGGTAGAAGCCATGAGGTATGAAACTTGAAAAACTCATCAGAGCTCTTTTTGCAATAGGCACACTCAATACAGGGCTTCCCTAGTGGCTGGCAATAAAGTATCCATCTGCCAATGCAGGAGATACAGTTTCGATCCCTGGGTGGGAAAGATCCCCTGGAGAAGGAAATGGCAACCCACTCCAGTAACCTTACCTGGGAAATCCCATGGACAGAGGAACCTGGTGGGCTACAGTCCATGGGGTTGCAAGAGTCCGACATGATTTAGCAACAAAACAACTGATCCTCAAAACAAGAAGTATGCTAAACATTTTTGGGGAATAACAACCAATAACCAAAAGTAATTAAAGGAGATTTTTAACGTCTGTAATTATCTCAGTTTGAAAACCTTACTATTCAGTTTTGGGAGGAGAGGGAAATAAATGGATTTAAAAGAAATGTTTCTATTGAAGGACAGCTCTATAGTCTGATCAGGAGAATTACAGCTACACATTTCTGAAAAAGTCAGACTAAAACTTTCACTGAGGGCATAAAGTTTTATATTAGGTATGTTGTGATTTTATGTGGGATAAAAGAAATGTTTATTGCCTCTAGGAGACTTTGAGCTAGTATAGATGGATTTTTGGAGGCAAAGTACTTTCTCACATTGGGGAAAATAACCTGTGATCAAAATTTAAGTATTTTTTCCATGGACTGCATTCTTTCCAAAGAGTATCATAGATTAAATAATGAGTTTACAATACGCCAGCAACTTCTAAAGTGCACATCTCCTTGAAAGGAAATTTGGGAAAATTGTTAAAGGGCTAAACATTAAGGCTCTTAAAAATCATTATTATCTATTTTTTTATACCTTGATTGTCCATTTAATTGGTCTTTAAAATTTCTATGAAGCCTAACTCAGATTTGCTCTAGATTCTTCCTCAATTTAGTGGATCAGTGTAGATTGTTAGAATTTTAAAATAAGGTATAAGTGAAAATTCAAAGCAGTGTTCCAGAAAAAAAGAATTCAAAAATCAGTCATAGAGATTTTCTTTTCTGGGTTGTTCAAGTTGTTCAAGGTTTTCCTGGCACCAAATAGCTCCCTCATAAATCTCTCTCCTTTGGAGGAGGGACACAAATAACAATGTGCGTCTTATCACCATCATCATCACTATCATCGGCATGGTTAACATTTATTGACTATATGTCAAACATCTCATTAATCCAAATCTCATTTAATTCAAATGAGCAAATATAATCACCCTCATTTTACAGATGAGGAAACTAAGGGACAGAGGAGTCTCAGAAAACTTTCCTTAGGGCTTCCCTGGTATAATTCAGTTCAGTCCCTCAGTCATGTCCGACTCTTTGCGACCCCATGAACCGCAGCACGCCAAGCCTCCCTGTCCATCACCAACTCCTGGAGATTACTCAAACCCATGTCCATTGAGTCAGTGATGCCATCCAGCCATCCCATCCTCTGTCGTCCCCCTTCTCCTCGTGCCCCCAGTCCCTCCCAGCTTTCCTGGTAGCTCAGTGGTAAAGAATCCGCCTGCCAGTGTAGGAGACACGTGTTCGATCCCTGGTCCTACGTGCCATGGAGCAGCTAAAGCCGAGCGCCACAACTCCGGAGGCTGTGCCCTAGAGCCCGGGAGCAGAAACTACTGAGCCCATGCACCTAGAGCCACCGAAATGAGACACTGCTCACTGCAGCTATGGAGTGACACCCACTGGTCACAACTAGCGAAAAGCCTGAGCAGCAACCAAGACCCAGCACAGCCAAAAAAATTAAAAATTAAAAAAAAGAAAATATTTTCTTAAATTACAATGGCAAATGGAACTGCTGGGATTCAAATCACAGAGAATTCTTTTTTTTCCTGAGCTTCTTGAGTCATTTTATTTTATTATTTTTAGTTTAATTTGTTTTTTTTTTTTTTTTTGGCTGCTTGTGGGGTCTTAGTTCTCTGACCAAGGATTGAACCGGGACCCTTGGCAGTAAGAGCGCAGAGTCTTAACCACTGGACCGCTGAGGAAGTCCCTGCAGAGAATTCTTTTTTTTTTTCCATTTATTTCTATTAGTTGGAGGCTAATTACTTTACAACATTGCAGTGGTTTTTGTCATACATTGAAATGAATTAGCCATGGATTTACATGTATTCCCCATCCCAGTCCCCCCTCCCACCTCCCTCTCCACCCGATCCCTCTGGGTCTTCCCAGTGCACCAGGCCCGAGCACTTGTCTCATGCATCCAACCTGGGCTGGTGATCTGTTTCACCCTAGATAATATACATGTTTCGATGCTGTTCTCTTGAAACATCCCACCCTCGCCTTCTCCCACAGAGTCCACAAGTCTGTTCTATACATCTGAATCTCTTTTTCTGTTTTTCCTATAGGGTTATCGTTACCATCTTTCTAAATTCCATATATATGTGTTAGTATACTGTAATGGTCTTTATCTTTCTGGCTTACTTTGCTCTGTATAATGGGCTCCAGTTTCATCCATCTCATTAGAACTGATTCAAATGAATTCTTTTTAATGGCTGAGTAATATTCCATGGTGTATATGTACCACAGCTTCCTCATCCATTCATCTGCTGATGGGCATCTAGGTTGCTTCCATGTCCTG